TATGCTAAGTAAAATAAGCCAGTCAGAGAAAGATAAATATCACATGCTCACTCATTTGTGGAATATAATGAACAACATAAACTGATGAACAAAAACAGATCCAGAGGCAGAGAAACATCGATCAGATGCTCAAACCTCAGAGGGAAGGTATGGGAGGGTGGGGGTATAGGGGAGAGATCAACCAGAGGAATTGTATGCATGAATATGAACCTAACCAATGGACACAGACGGGGGTGGTGGTGAGGGGGGGGTGAGGGCATGTGCTGGGGGGTGGGGGAGGCCGAGGAAAGGTCAATTGAGGGGAGGAAGGAGATTTATGTAAGACTTTAAACAATAAATAATTTAAATTTAAAAATATATATAAAATCAAATAAGTAAAGAATTATGTAATCTTTCATTAGAATTGCAAAATAATCAAACTTTTATGATTTATTTTTATATTTCTTTGAAAAACTACATACTTCCTAGACCTTGTATTAAAAAGTCTGAGAAGTAACAGCAACCCATTTAGCCATGAACACCCAAAAGTGCACAGATGTGGTCAAAATGCCATTGCGCTGAAAGCAATGAAGACTCCTTTGAGGAACAGTTGATTTTATATCTGGGGCCGTAAATGAGACTGTTCCAATTAACACTGGAACTCTCATAGTGCCCAAAAGCAAGGAAGCCATCAAAACATTTGTGGTTGTCAAATGAACATAGAAGCCAAAGATACACAATTTGAGCTTTGAAATGAATAGTTACTGTAATTATATAAAAGTGTAAGTAGGGATGCCAATAGCATTAATGGATAACTAGAAGCAATAAGAGATTCAATATAGTAGCAATATATAAAGTTACATATAAAAATCAATACCTTCATGTATTTAAGCAGTAGCAATTAAAGGGAAAAGTAGAAGAGATGGCACCATTTACATTGCCAACAAAAATGAAATATAGCCCAGTAATACATTTAACAAGAAATGTGCAAAACTTATATGAAAAAAAACTTTAATGCTTTTCTGAAAGACATAAAACTGGAACTTGAATAAAAGGAAAATAGCATTGTTCTTCAGTAGAATAATACAAAATCATAAATTGATGGCAATATTTTAAAGTATTTTTATGGAGCTAGATTCTATAGTTTATACAACTAAATGAATAAGCAAGAATATCCAAGAAACAGGAAAAATTAAACAAACAAACAAAAAAACAGCAATGAGGCAGGTCTATCCATAACAGATATTGGAATATATTATACATTTCTGTAATTAAAACAGTGTAATATTAGCACATGAGTAGACAATCAGATCAAGGGGGGCGGGGAGAAAATACAGATATAACTCAAGTACAATGTGGAAACTTATGTATGTGATAAAAGTGGTATCTCAAGACACGGGGAGAAAATTTGACTTTTTAAAATGTAATGTTGTTAAAACAGCTAAATAGTCCTTTGAAATAGATAAAATTGAACGTAACATCACCTAGATAAGATTCCAGCTCAAAAAAGCCCCAAAATGTTCAACATTAATCTTGTGTTGAGAACCAATCTGAGTATCCAAATTGAAGTATATTCTGGAAAAAACCACTGGCCTGAACTAAAAAAATGTCAATACCAGAAACACATACACACACACACACACACACACACACACACACACACACACGGCTAGGAAAGTATTCTAAACTGAAGGAAACTTAAAGAGACTTGAAAACTAGTCAATGCAATATGTGATCCTTGTTACAGCCCAGATTTATAGTTCTAAACGATGGGGTAAGCGAGGATTTGGGAGGGAGGGGACGGCGGTGGAGGGGTGAGTTGAGGACATTGGAATATAGACTGCATGCACTAATGGAACGGTGTTTAGTGGATTCCTGCTTCCTGTGGCTGGAGAGCCTAATGATGCATGTATCTCCTAAGGACACTGGCTTGTGAGTCGAGGACCGTGGTCCTCAAAGGGGCGATGTTGCCCACCCTCCCACTGCACCTTCTGGCAGTGACTGGAAACGTTTTTGTTGTCACGAGGGAGGGAGGGCTGCTCCTGGCGGGGTTGCCGGGAGCGCCACTGCACATTGTGCAATGCCCACGACAGTCCCCTCCCCCCACAGCAAAGACTCATCTGCCCAAAGCGTTAATAGCGCCCAGACGGAGGAGCCCTGATTCGGGAGAAGCCCTATCTTCGGGGGCAGGTACTGGGACATCAGACCGCATTAAATGAAACTGTCTTTTGCGCATATGAAACGTTAGAAACGGTTAAAGGTGAAGGGCTGCGAAGTTCACAACACAACTAACTCAAATTGTTCAGCAGAGACACGGTCCCTGTCCTTCCGCCCGGGCTTCCTCCAGCCTGGACCCCGGGAGGGGGTGGGGTGGGGGGACCACGCCTCCCCAGCGGGGCTGACCGCGGAGCCTGCGCGGTGGGAGCGCGCTGCGGGGCTGGCCACTGCGCATGCGCCCCGCGGCCGCGCCCACACGGCGCCCCTTCAAAAGTTACCCACGCGCCGGCGGGCGGCGCAGAGCAGCGCGGCAGCCGCCACAGGAAGGAGAAGGCGGAACTCCCGGGGCGGGGAGTGGGGGCTTCTCCGGAATGACAGCCACGCTTTCCCCAGTGAAGCCGGAAACCTTCTTTGCGACCCGCCCAGGGCGGCAGGGGGCGCCGCCCATCCTTTCGGAGCCCCGGGCAGAGGAGCCAGTCGCGTGTGGGCGCGCGCTGCCCACCCCCTGCCAGGCTGGACCTGCAGAGGCGATGCCGACCCCCGTGTCTGAGGAGCCGGCGGCGCTGCGCCCCGCGATCCCGCTGCGGGGAGCGCCCTGGCACTCACCCCGCCCCGGCTTCCCGCCGGCGAGAGCTCGCAGGTACCGTTTCAAATACCGTAACATTTCCCATTCTGAGTCTCTTCACCAAAGAGGGGGCTAACTTTCTGTATAACGAGCCAGTTGGCAAATGTTTTAGGATTTGCGGGCCAGGACCTGTTTCTGTTGTGTATTTTGCCTTTTTTTTTTTTCAACAACCTTATAAAATGTAAACGCAACTCTTAGCTCCTTTCAAAAACAGGGGGATGACAGGGACGAGACTCTGATCATTCACTTCACCCAGCTCGGCGGTTGGAGCTTGGATCTCAGCCACCGTGTGCAGTAAGGACTCGGTTCCAGGAGGACTGCGACCCGCCTGCCCAGGTGTAGTTCACACCTCTCGGTCCATTCACCTGCTCCTCTGCGCCTCCTTCCCGCTGGGTGCGCGGGTGAGTCCCGGTCCATTCACCTGCTCCTCTGCCCCTCCTTCCTGCTGGGTGCGCGGGTGAGTCTCGGTCCATTCACCTGCTCCTCTGCGCCTCCTTCCTGCTGGGTGCGCGGGTGAGTCCCTGTCCATTCACCTGCTCCTCTGCGCCTCCTTCCTGCTGGGTGCGCGGGTGAGTCTCGGTCCATTCACCTGCTCCTCTGCGCCTCCTTACTGCTGGGGTTCGCGGGTGAGTCCCGGTCCATTCACCTGCTCCTCTGCCCCTCCTTACTGCTGGGGTTCGCGGGTGCACCTGCTCCTCTGCCCCTCCTTACTGCTGGGGTTCGCGGGTGAGTCCCGGTCCATTCACCTGCTCCTCTGCCCCTCCTTACTGCTGGGGTGCGCGGGTGAGTCCCGGTCCATTCACCTGCTCCTCTGCCCCTCCTTACTGCTGGGGTGCGCGGGTGAGTCCCGGTCCATTCACCTGCTCCTCTGCCCCTCCTTCCTGCTGGGTGCGCGGGTGAGTCCCGGGCAGTCAACCCGGCCACCACCGGGAACCCCAGACCAGCAGCCACACCCGTCTCTACTCTAAAATGACAGTCTCTTCCTACCTGGGAGCAAAAGCCAAAGTACATACATTGTGATTAAATTAGCATAAAAGCAGGAGAAGGGTATTGCAAAAAAAAATGTATTTAAAACATTTTTTCTAGTGATAAATGTAGTATATGTTCACTATGGTAATTTGGAAAACACTGAAGAATATATAGAAGGAAATAAAAATTCTCTCTAATCCCACCCCCCACCACATACACACACACACACACACACACACACACACACACTATTTAAATGTTTATATATTTTTAGTCCATTTATTTCACTGCCTATTAATAGGACAACTTATTGAATAACTGGATTTTTAAAAATATTTCTTAATAAACTTCTATTGAAGTTTATTGCCACAGTCAATTTTAGAACAAAACACAGAAAAGTGGGCGAACTATAAATATACACTTCAGTAAACTTTCAAAGACTATCACAAATATACCCTTGCCACCACCATGGAGATCAAGAAACAACCATTCCCAGCTCCCTTTATCCTTGCCCAGTCAGGGACAACTTTCCAAGTACAACCATTGTCTTACGCGCAAATGCACAGATTAGTGTTGTCTGTTCTTGAATTTCACATGAAATGAATTATTTTATACATATGATATAGTATTTGGTTTCTTTCACTTCATATCACATTTGAGATTCTTCCACTTTGGTTCCTGTAACAGATCTTTTTAAAATGTTTATTTTATGTTGGATGACATCCAATTATATGAATATACCACAACTTATTTTTCCTTTATACTGTTTTTTATTAATATCGACCTAATTGATATATAGTTCACATACCATACAACTCATTTATCTAAATTGTACAGTTTGTTGGTGTTTTTAGTATGGTCACAGACAGATGTGACCATTGCCATAGTCAATTTTAGAACATTTTCCTCATCTCAGAAGAACTCCATACTTTTTTAAGTTATCACGCCCACACTCCCCATCCTCTCTAGCCCTAAGCAAGTACTGATCTTCTTTCTGTTTCTATATATTTGCCTATTCCTGACATTTCATAAAATGGAATCATATAATATGGGGTCTCTTGTGACTGGTCCCTTACACTGATATTAGGTGTTCAATTCATTTTATTTCCAGGTGTGAGATAATTATTGATAATACTACTCTGTATGACATGTATCAATGGAAACAAATGTCTCACATAGAGATACATAACTCTGTTGGGATATATACCTTAAAAGTGGAATAGCTGGGACATAGGTTATGCTTATCGTTAGCTATAGTTGATAGTGCCAAACAGGTTTTCAAATTTATACACCCATCAGCAGTGTATAATGAGTTCTCATTGCTCCATTCCTTCCCCAACATTCAGTGATTGTGTGTTTGCAATTTACATTTCTTTGACGAATGAAAAAGAGCAGCGTCTTTTCATGTGATTATTAGTCTTTTAGAAATCCTCTTTAGTAAAATGTCTGTTGGGTCTTTACCCCATTTTTCTGTTGGGTTGTTTGTCTTTTTTACCTCATTTATGTATTATACATGTGAGTCCATTTTCATTTATGAGAGATGGGGAAAAAAATCACCTTTCCCTAATCTGTGGCTTGTATTTTAACTATTTCATTGTCAAATTTTAATGAATGTAAATTCTTTTTTTAAAAAAATATATTTTATTGATTTTTTTACAGAGAGGAAGGGAGAGGGATAGAGAGTTAGAAACATCGATGAGAGAGAAACATCAATCAGCTGCCTCTTGCACACCCCCTATTGGGGATGTGCCTGCAACCAAGGTACATGCCCTTGACTGGAATCGAACCTGGGACCCTTCAGTCCCCAGGCCGAAACTCTATCCAGTGAGCCAAACCAGCTAGGGCAATGAATGTAAATTCTTAATGTTTAAAGACATACTGTTCTCTTTGAACATTTAGATCTGCTAACCATATGAATTGGCTTTGGAGTATAATATCAAGTAAGGTTTAATTTTTTTTAAATTATGACACAGGTTCTTTTCTTGAAAAGACCATCCTTTCCCCACTGCTCTGCGATGTCACCTTTGTCATAAATCAATAGAAACAATAAATCAGTATAGATGTTGGAATTAGTAAACAAGAACTTTAAACTATAAACATGACAGATATATTAAAGAATCTTGCTAAAGAGGATATAAACGATGGATAAAGAATTTCAAGAGAAATACGGATATTATTTTTTAAAATATGTTTTTATTGATTTTACAGAGGAGGGGGGAAGGGAGAGATAGAAACATCGATGAGAGAGAAACATTGATCAGCTGCCTCTGTATATCCCCCAGTGGGGATTGAGCTGTAGCCCAGGCATGGGTCCTGCCCAGGAATCCAGCTGATAACCTCCTGTTGCATGGATGGACACTCAACCACTGAGCACATGAGATGGCAGATAATTTTTTTTTAAGAACAAAATGGAAGTCCTAGGACTGGATAATACAATATCTGAACTTATTTGATTGGATTATCAGTAGGTTGGACACAAAAGTAGAAAGGATCATCAATCTAAAGACAGGTCACTAGAAATTATGCAAATATAAATACACAGAGAAAAAAAATATTTTTTTAAATAAAACATCCATGACTCATAGAATAGTATCAAGTGATCTAACAGACATGAAATTGGATTCCCAAAAGGCAAAAAGACTGAGTATGGGGCAGAAAAATACTTGAAAAAATATTCTTAAATGCCCTAACCGGTTTGGCTCAGTGGATAGAGCGTCGGCCTGTGGACTGAAGGGTCCCAGGTTTGATTCCCGTCAAGGGCATATACCTTGGTTGCAGGCACATCCCCAGTAGTGGGTGTGCAGGAGGCAGCTGATGGATGTTTCTCTCTCATCAATGTTTCTGGCTCTCTATCCCTCTCCCTTCCTCTCTAAAAAATCAATAAAATATGTTTAAAAAATATTCACAAAAGCTTTCCAAATTTGATCAAATATATTTTATCCAAGATGTCTACTTGTTTTCAATGGAGAGTTGGTCCCAATAACCTAACTTACCATGAATGAAATTTAGATGTTAGCATAAATAATTATAAAATCTTACATCTACATGAATGAGCAGTAGGTTACTTTACAGTTGCACAAAATGTAGAAAAATACTTTGTTGGGAGCATTACTGTACTTTTAACATGCATATTGCCTATCTACTAAAGGCCAGTAGTATCAGCCAATCATAATAACAGCAGATGTTTTTCAAAATACTCCCTCGGTGTGTAGTATACCCTGCATCTATTGTGAACCCCTCTCTCACATGACCTGTCACTGCCTCCTTTCTCCAACCCCTTTCTAACCTCAGCTTCCAATGCTCACATCTCTCAGACAACACTGGTCTCTTTCTATCTCAGAGCTCTTAGGATTCCTTTTTCATTTTTGCAAGTGTTCCTCCCCCAAATACTCATGTGACTGACCCTTTTCTCCTCCTCAGGTTGTTGTTCAAATGTCATTTTCTCAGATCTCTAGATTAAATGAAATAAAACAAAAAAACTTGTACACTCTTTCCCCATCCCTGCTTATTTTTTTATTTAGATACTAGAGGCCCAGTGCACAAAATTTGTACACTGGGGGTGTGGGGGCGAGGCGGGGGGGAGGGGCTCAGCCTGGCCTGTGCCCTCTCACAATCTGGGACCCCTCGGGTAGGGTCGCTAGGCCTGGCTGGCAATCAGGACCTATCGGGGCTTTCCTTCTCCTGGCTGCTGGCAGCTGGCCCCGCCCCTGCCGCTGCCACTGCTTGCCATCTATGCAGCGCTGCCCCCCACCACTGCTTGCCATCTATGTAGCGCTGCCCCCCCACCACTGCTTGCCATCTATGCAGCGCTGCCCCCCCACCACTGCTTGCCTCCCTCTGCAGACGACAGGTGTGGGTGCAATCTCTGTCCAGCTCCGCACACTCGCCACAGCGTCACTGGCTGGTGTCCTGGGCCTCCTTCTTTGGGGTGATCGATCGCAGGGCTCCCCAATGGATCACCCTGGTGAGAGGGAGGTCCTGCTCATCAGGGCTCTGTGATCGAATGCCTGCAGAGGGTGGCCTGAGCCTCCCTCTTTGGAGCGATCAATTGCGTAGTCCCCCCATTGATCACCCCACAGAGGGTGGCTGGGGCCTCCCTCTGTGGGGCGATCCTGGGGCAATGGCAGGGCCCCCCAACCAATTGTATCACACCCACCTTGGCTGGCCTGGTGCCAGTGCATGTCATAGTGTGGTTGTCCAGACGGTTGTTCTGCTGTTCAGTTGTTCGATCATTCAGTCGATTTGCATATTACGCTTTTATTATTATAGATAATTGACATACATTATATTAGTTTCAGTTATAAAACATGATTCTATATTTGAATATATAGAGAAATGATCATTACACAGTTATAAAATGTTTTTTCTTGTGATGAGAACTTTTAAGATCTACTCTCTGCAACTTTCAAATACACAATATAGTACTGTTAACTTTAGTCACCATGCTGTACATTATATCTCTAGGGATTTTTTATTTTATAAATGAAGTTTGTACTTTTGACCACCTTCACACATTTATTTTTATCTATACCTTTTATTTGAAATGCTATGTATTTTAGTTATTTAATTTATTTATTGTTTCACTTTCCACACCAATATAAGTTCTGGTTAGAGGGGAGGGGAATTTACCAATTTTGTTCTCTTCTGTTTCTTCAGTATCTTGAATTTGTAAAAATTTCTAATTGTTAACATTTTTCTCAGGGCTGGCATGTGGACAACCTTAATTTATTGCTAATAACCCCTATATCTTTTGAGGTATTTCTTCAGTTTTTCATGAATAAAAAAGCCCTGATTGTATTCTAGTAATTTTTACATTTTTAAGGTATGCTTGAGTTTCTCAGCAAAAAAAGGATTATTATAGTAATAAAAGCTCTAGGCTTTCACCAAGGGGAATAAGAAATGTGATAAGGTTTTTTCCAAAGCAACAAAAAGTTTTTTCTAATTAAATACACTGAGGGCTTCTCCTTATCAGATTGGAATATCTAACCAAATTGCTGAGGGTCCCCTCACAAAGAGAAACCCCTAGAATCACAGAGAAGTCTGCCTGTTCAATTAGAAGGTAATTTCTACCACTGTTTTTCTTTAGGTCGTCCGGCTTCAGGATGGATGGTGACCTTCCAAAAAAGGAAAAAGATGGAAAATCATCAAAATTATCATAAACTACTGCCAACTGAATGTTTCTTTGTAGCATGTGCAGAGTGGAGGGAAATGATATTCCTGCATTATATAATCTACCAACAACCTACTTACCTACAGTCTTCTTAATCTACGTTATTCTTGAAAGCAGAACCTGAGACAGAGGCAGACATATTCTATTTGGGAATGTAATCCCAGGGAGCAGGAATGAGAGAGAGGAGTGAGAGGGGGGAAGGGGAGAGAAAATTCAAGCAAAATAAGGTAGTGTTATCAAGTGTCCACCACTATTAACAGTTTCTTAGTGAAGAACCTTCTCAGGATTCTTACTAAATTTTGTGTTGGAACTGTCTGCCTGAGGGTTGACAAGGAGAAGCATTTATCTCTCCGCACCCATCTCCTGCATGTTGAGAACTGCTCCTATTGGTGTTAATTCCCCAAGCCCTGTGGTTGCAAAGCTGGGAGAACCTCACTGGCAGAGCATCACTCATTGCCACATCAGAGAAGCCTTGAGACAGGAAGCCAGATCCTTGGTCCAAGCTTGAGTGAGGCACTGTCAGCACAGAATAGGGGGAAACCTGCCCAGACTGTTCACCAGAGTGGTAGCTGGAATTGGAGGTTGAAGAGATGTGAGACAGTGCACAGCAGATATCGTATAAGCCTACAGATTGTGCTTTTAGCTGTGTCCAAATCTATTTTCTCTTTTCAATAATCAAAATTTCAGTGTCCAGAACAAGGCTGGCAGAAGGGTTAAATGAAAAGTTTAAATGTGTTAGAATATGTACATTATAACAGTTTTAACCTTGAGGGATTTTTGTAAGAAATAGAACACGAACATGCGAAATACAACATGAGAACTTGGAAAATAAAAAATTATATATATTGTACTTGAAAAATTAGACTATCGAATAGAGATACTAGATATCTTCTAAACTCATGTAATCTCAGAAAACAATCATGACTTGTTTGGAGAAATAAAATGAACCTTTTGTTGTGTCTCCATGGGTTTTATAAATCAATGTCATTAACTTTTCCTAAGATAGTGTTGTCTACTGTCGCATAGCATTAACGATATAGAGCTTACAACCAATGAAAGAAAATCGGTAGAAACACAAGAAGGAAAAATATTGGGATAATTTCCATCACATAAAGGGTTGGCATTAATATTGGTTGGAATAGGGGGAAATTGCATGCTTTGATTCAAGCTTCCTCTATGAGGTTCCACCTTACCAATAATAGTTTTATCTGTGCCTACACTCTTGTAATATCCTTATCATCCTTTCTTATTTGATCTGGAATTGCCATCAATAGGATAAAACCTTTGAGTTATTCAATTCAGTATGTGTTGAGCTACCATTTGTTATGTATAGGCACTATACATTTGAATAAGATCCTAATATATAAAAACCCTGGGTCCATAACGACCAGAGACTCGACCAACTGAAAGTTAGTCCTGCAGTCAGCGCTGGGTTGCCGTGGCAACCTTCACAGCCACTGCCACATGCTGTGGTATAAAACACTGTGCAAGTGATCAGAAGTGCAGGCACCACCTCCATGTCACGCCCCCAACACTTCCATCAGTCCCACCAGCCCTGAGGCACCTTCCCCGAGCTGTTTCCCGCCAGGCAAGGCCTAAGGGAGGAACCCGCCCTCAGGGTGCCTGGAGCACCTAGAGGCAGATTACTAAGAGAAATTATGAATTTGAATGTTGCATTTGGTGGGAAAGTTCTTCTCAGAGGGGATTTTCAACAATGTCTCAGTGTTATGCGATCAGCCATAGTACAAACGAGTTTAAAGTACTGTAATGTTGGGGATGTTTCAGAAAGTTGTCTCTTAAAACAAATATAAGATCAGAGGATTCTGCTTATCGTGAATGATTAGTAAAACTTGGAGATGGCAAACTGGATAGCAGTTTTCATTTAGGAATGGATATTATTGAAATCCCCCATGAAATGACTTATAACAGATCTATTACTGAAGCTACCTTTGGAAATACTATATCTATAGATAATATTAAAAATACTAGAGGCCCAGTGCACAAAAATTTGTGCACTCGGGGGGGCGGGGGGCGGGTCCCTCAGCCGGGCCTGCGCCCATTCATAGTCCAGGACCCTTTGGGGGATATCCACCTGTCAACTTAGGCCCACTCCCCAGGGGATCAGGCCTAAGCTTGCAGTCAGACATCCTTCTGGCAGCCAGGGAGCCCTTGGGGGATGTCTGACTAAAGGCTTAGGCCCCCAAGGGATCGGGTCTAAACCGTTAGTTGGACATTCTTAGTGCTGCCACGGAGGTGGGAGAGGCTCCTGCCACCACCACTGCGCTGGCCAGCCATGAGCCAGCTTCTGGCTGAGTGGCACTCCCTATATGGAAGTGTACTGACCGCCACGGGGCAGCTCCTGCATTGAGTGTCTTCCCCCTGGTGGTCAGTGCGCATCATAGCAACCGGTCATTCTGCCGTTCAGTCAATGTGCATATTAGCCTTTTATTATTATTATATAGGATGTCCCTATTTCCCCCCTTTTGCCCCCTCTACCCAGCTCTTGCCCCCCACTTCTCTCTGGCCATCACCATCCTGTTGTCTGTGTCCATGGGTTGTGCATATATTTTCTTTGGCTAATCCCTTCTTTAAATTTTTATTTTCAGATAAGTGCTTATAACTGCACTATTATATATTTTGTATTATATCATTTAGAATTAAGATAATTTTTAATTGAACCCTTATAAATTGTAGCACAATTTAGTAAATTATGCTAGAAGCAATTATGAGATTTTTCATGTAATGCATACACATTTCAATTAATATTTAATTAATTTTTAATTTTTTAATATTTTGATTTGAAATAATCTCATGTAAAAAAAACTATAAAATACTACAGCATATTATATGTACCCTTCACCCAATTTCTTAGGTGTTAATAATTTAAACATAACCATTATACAACTAACAAAATTTGGAATATATTTTTCTTATAATCTCTTTAATGTTACTTAATCCATTTACTTTGTTTTTGTTAATTTTCACCCAAGGATATTTTTCCATTGAATTTTAGAGAGAGTGAAGGGAAAGGGAGAGACACATTGATTGGTTGCCTCCTGCACATGCTCTGATAGGGACTGGGGATCAAGCCAGCAACTGAGGTACACGCTCTTGACTAGAATTGAACCTGGGACCCTTTAGTCCATGGGCTAATGCTCTGTCCACTGAGCAAAACAGGCTGCAGCTTAATTCACTTACTTTTAATCTATATGTGTCTTTATATTTAAAGTGGGTTTTGTTTTTGATTCACCCTCATAATCTGTCTTTTAATTGGTGCATTTATGCCACTGACTTTCAGAGTGCTTACTGATAGAGTTACTACCATATCAGACAGCTTCTGCGGCTCCTGGGGGCGGGCCTGCCTTGCTGCCCCGGGACCCACCCATCTCCGATCTCTGGTCCCAGGGCTGCAAGGCACAGTAGGCTGCAGGGGGCTTTTTGGGGCAGGCCTGCCTTGCCACTGGGGACCCGCCAATGGGGTCCCGGGGCTGCCGGCCTGCCCTGGATGGCGGCGCGCTGGCAGTTGGCACTGTCCCGCCCTGCCTGCAGTATGCAAATTAGCCGCCATCTTTGTTGGCAGTTAATTTGCATATCACACTGATTAGCCCGTGGGAGGTATAGCAAAGGTACAGTCAATTACCATGTTTCTCTATTATTAGATAGGATATCTAAATGTGTGATTCTTTGTCCAAAAAATGAGCAAGTTCAAAAATTAAATGAAGAAATTTTGCATATACTCGATGGAGATTTTCACACTTATTTGAGTGATGATTCCATTGATTCCGGCCAGGGCTGAAAAGAAAAATTTTCCCATCAAATTTCTTAATAGTATTACTCCTTCAGGAATGCTGTGTCATAAATTAAAATTGAAAGTGGGTGCAATCATCATGCTACTGAGAAATCTTAATAGTAAATGGGATCTTTGTAATGGTACTAGATTTATTATCAAAAGATTGCAACCTAACATTATCAAAGCTGAAATATTAACAGGATCTACAGAAGGAGAGGTTCTGATTCCAAGAATTGATTTGTTCCCATCTGACACTGGGCTCCCATTTAAATTAATTCGAAGACAGTTTCCCGTGATGCCAGCATTTACGATGACTATTAACAAATCACAAGGACAAACTCTAGACAGAGTAGGAATATTCCTACCTGAACCTGTTTTTGCACGTGGTCAGTTATACGTTGCTTCTCTCAAGTTCGAAGAGCATGTGATGTAAAGTTGTAAATACTTCGTCACAAAGGAAATTAGTCCAGCACTCTGAAAGTGTTTTCACTCTTAATGTGGTATACAGGGAGATATTAGAATAAGTTTAATCAATTTATCACTCATTGTATCAGTGTTGTTTTTACATCATGTTTTTTTTTATCATGTCTTTGTTGTTGTTATATCATGTTGTGATTATTAACAAATTTATATATTATTTTCATATACATTTTATTAATTTTCTTTCATCTCTGACACTTCTATTATAGAGAAAGGGCAAATAGCAATATTAAAATATTTCCTCTAATTAATTCCCTTTTAATGTGCATGAATTTCGTGCACCAGGGCACTAGTATAAATATAAAACATTATATCCAAAAATTTTAGAATACATATTATTTTAAGGTTCACCATTCAACATTTACTAAAACTGACCATTCAATTGATCACAAATTTCCAACGATTGAAATAATATGGAGTATGAATTAAGCCAGAAATCAATTACATAAAGATAAAAACAATTTTCCAAATTCTTATAACTTAGGGAACACACTCTGAACAATCCATGAGGCAAGCTAAATAACAGTAGACTTTAGAAAATATTTTGAGATAAATTCTAATGGAAATACAACATATCAAAACACGGGATATTGTGAAAGCAAATATTTATGGGAAATTTATAGCTCTAAATATATTAAAAATTTCACAGAAAGATTGGCTATTAATATTCCCAGGAACCAGGGGGGAGGGGGAATGTTGAAGCAGCCTTTCAGACATTGGAGAACTGGCAGCAAAGGAGGGATGACTGAGGGAGGGAAACAAGGTGACCCTTCAATTGCCCTGCCTGCCTAGATTTAAGCGCTGGATGACATTGCAGGAGTAGAAGCTGAAGCAGAGCAGTCTTTCTGAGATAGGGAGACCAAGACAAGTTGAGTAAAACTGAGATGGCTTGAATTTTCAGGGCAGAGTATCAGTGAAGAAGAAGGTATGTAGATAAAAAAAAAGTCCAGAAATCAGCATACAGATCCCTTTATGTTTATTGTTGAACACTAAGCTTAACAATGCCCAACACTAGCACAAGAATAGGAAACATTTAACTTCCATCCAGCCATAGTGGAGAGTCCTCACTCAGAAGTCCTCACTCAGAACTCCTGACATTCATTGGGATCTCAGGAAGGTTACACCTTGTGTAAGTAGGTTTAAGCTAGCCTGATGGTAAAATCTACACTAGACGCAACAACAACAACAACAACAAAAAAAACACAAAAAAAACTTACAAACCAACCCCAGCAATATGAAGTTGATTCACAAGTAACTTAACTCTCTGTCAGAACAAAGTCCCTATTGGTCAGAACAAAGTCCAAGTGTGTTATTTCAGGTCATCCAAGATGCACGTGCAAAAATAGATTTACAAGAGATCTATTTGGGGAAATGCCTGTGAGAGTTGAAATAGGAAGCCAAAGGAGGAAGTCTTCAGACAGATGTATGTCTACCCCCTTTGGAAGAAAGAAGAAGTTGGAAGTAGCCAGAATCTCAGACTGCAACACAATTCCAAGAAAGTTAAGGGTCAGGCTGATGAAAAACTCCCAAGCCAAAGTTGCCCCTTAAAGGAGTCCCCTTGCACACACGAATGGGCCTGCATCCGTGTACCTGCTCTGCTCATTGTTCTGATGGAAAAGCCTCATGGGAACTGTAGCCTTGGCATGAAAATACTAGTGTTTTCAGAGGGCAGCAGACGGGGCTCTCAGCCAAT